AACATATCCCAATGTCCCTTTCCTTATCTCACAACATACACATCTTTATACAGTTTAATGAACCTTCAAAACAGTCTATTTGTCTAATACCTATGTCTCATGTCTATATCTGAAAAAAAAAGTGGCAACTTAATATGTAATGGGCATTTTTTTTTCTTTTTGTGTACAAACAGAGCAAATTTTGTGATTGGTAATCATTGCATATTAAAGATACTATGCACACAAATTTTTTGTCAATTTAGCAGTAAAAGAATTTTTTCTTCAGAAAAAAAAACGATGAAATTTAAGACCATACAGTCTTATATTGGCCAGATATGGTAATGCATTTTAGTCAGAACAACTAGAAGATTGATCTGAAATACATAGTCAGATACAGTGTTCTGGCTAAATACATAAGGAAAATCTGACATTGGGCATTCAAAAAAAATATATCAAAAGCATGACAAAATTTTGCTTTAGTAATATCCCCCTCTCCCACACACATATTTTTGACTATATACACATGCAGTATTTTAACTATATAAATAGGCCATGATGTAAAACTTTCATAATCAAAGGTAGTATATTTTAAATCTTTGATTTCAATTCTATAACAACCTGCTTTCACAAATCAATGATCACAAGAGTGTCATTATTAGCATATATGACCTCAGCAAAAGACATGATGGGTTGAGCCACCAACACTGCCAACAATGTTAAAAATGCCGACAATTGAGTGACCAGTCTTGCTCATGGACACAGCTGTAAAGTCCCCCTTGCACATCAAATTTGTTGTCATCACTATATCTCATTAAAATATTTTTAAGTTCAAGGGATCATGGTTCATGCTAGCGTGTTATGGTTTGGTCCAAATTTATGTTTAAATTAAAATTTATTGAAGAAACCAAAAAATCCAAGACTATCCTTATTCATTCCAGCCAAAAAAGATACTAAAAGAGCCATTGGAGAAAAAGACATGAGCCAAAAGTGAGGTATGTTTTGAGCCAAGTCTGGTTGACAAGGATATTAGACCATATGCATGCCAATGTTACATGACATAACAAAATCATCTTCTCTATGTAAAATAATCTACCAGGTCAAGAGCCCCTTTAGATATTTAATATTAGAGTATGTAATGTTCAACATTAAAACTGTCTTCAAACAAACAAAGCCATAATCCTTATCAACAACAAAATATAATGATAATTATTATATAATGATAATTTTAGCCATTGCACGCTTGCTCGTTAGCAGAGGCCTAGATCGAGAGAGACAAAACAAACATCTTACCTTGGCCTTACTCACAATCTTGTCTGCACAGTCTTTCTTTCCTTCAATATTATCATGTCCGTGTCATCGTGCATCACTCTTATCTCTTTAAACTACTTCTCAGGTCAACAAGGTGACTTGGCTAGGCCTCACACAACACCTTCACTTGATCACAGACAATAATAGCACAGCTTCACTGTACCAAATGTGTGGATATACTCACTCTGAGGGGAATGTGAATTATGCCCTAATTATTTATGTTAACAAAGTCTGGGGATTTGTTGTCTAAATATAAATATACGGATCTAATCTTAGTGAGGAGATTTATTAAAGTATTATGTCAATAATAATATATCAATGTGAAGAAAGGGAGAAGATTTACTGTGCAAATAAGGGATTTCAAAGTATACAGAGTCAACATGGCCCCAGAGTAAGCTATCTATATTTTTGCTTCTTTTCTTGTTATCTTTACACTGTATCTAATTGAAGTTGGCACTAGCAGTACAAATCACTAATTAGCAAATGGAATGCTGTAATTGTTTGTTATCTCGTATTTCCCAATCCAAACCCAGAATTTCCTCACCATAAATACCATCTGAACAGACAAGATACAAACTACACCCTAATGCCAACCAGCTGTGGGTTAACTTTTTTCCAATTACTAGGGAACTAAAGAAAATATCTTGCCTTTTTTTGTCATTTTGAACATTTCATATTCCAGCTAACTTATTGGATTAAATCCTATAAATTGCTGAACATAATTAGAACATTCAGTCAATATTAATTTGATTTTAAGTTCAGAGTCATACACTGGTCAAATAAAAGCTGCTGAATGTGGGATAGTTTTTAAACAAGAGACTAAACTCATGGGTGCATTCACATGTACACTTTTACACACACATACACGTTAATTCATATATTTGTGTGCAAGCATGTGCTTGCCCATGTGCACCTTTGTACACACACACACACACACACACACACACACACACACACACACACACACAGTCACAAACAAATAGACACACGCTCCATTACCCTCATAAATGACAGGGTCAAGCAGTTGACCAGGTATTATACTCATCATATTTCATTGTGATCCCTAACTCTTCCTAATGCCTTTATTAATACTGCAATAACCCCAGATGCCACCTCTATCTAATGGAGGATTTAAGTAATAAAACACATTTAGGAGGATCCTTTCTGTGATAAACTTGTTTCACCTGAGATGTCCTATTGAAATGATATAGCAATGAATGCAGAACAAAAGGCTCAGACAAACCAAACTATAATCATTAAAGTAAAGGAATAGGATATAGCATATTAAGTATTTGTTGACATCTTTTAAGGAAATTGGCTTTGTCCAAAACTTTTTAGGAATCAATGCAGAATTTGGTGTACTCCATTATAATATATTCATTTGACCTTTGTTACTTTTTTTTGTGAATATGAAAATCTTCAAAATGACACAATGTTTGAGAATTGCATGTTTGAAATTCAGATATATTTCATCAACCTGATATAATTCTTTATATTTCCAAAGTACATTCTAATTTTTTTTTAAATCATCTTAATGCAAATATCCTTATTATTGACAGATTTACTAGCTTTTATACAATCGCAAAAATATTTCAATTCAACAAACCACTTCCGATCAAGAAAATCAGCAGTTATTCAGAATTCAATATAGAGACTAACAATAATGGCTCAGACTTCACAAGATCACGGAAAGTGTATCAAGAAAATCTCGGTGCCTAAAAACTCCTTCCCTTGTGAAAAATTATCTTTATTTCCAAACTGATCTCAGATCTTTTAAAAAGCAATCAAACTCACTGTTCTGTCTTTCCTCACACCTGTTCTAAAGATCAGGTAAAAAAATCCATCAGAGATGATCCTAAATACTTGTTAAAGATAACCAACAAAAATACCTTCACAAGTTCACTGATTCATACTATGATGTTCCAATAGCCATGAAATTGATGCTTGATGGCCATGAAATTGTTGTCTATATATGAGCTGATGATATACAATGTGGCACAATACAACTGTCTAGTGTGCAGGATCTATGCCCACAAAGTCAGATTTTCTGCTTGCATGCATAAGGAATTTGACAGACTGACTTTTTACCAGTCGTTGTTGTATTTCTAATTTTTTTCTGCATTCCATCATTTCTTAGCAGACAACAACATGAGTTTTGAAAGTCAACATCTTAGATTATTATTTGCTGAATATTTTACTAATATTTGTAAACTCAACACTGTGGTGGTTCTAAATGCAAAATCCAGTTCAAATATACCAATCAGGTTTTATAAAAGTACTCACCAGCTAAATGGCAGTGTGAACAACTGTTACACCAAATACTCGACAGCAGTTGAAGGTCTTAAGAATTCATCACCTATAAATTCAATGCACACTTCCATTTCTCAAGCTACCTTAACCAAGCTGTCTGTGAAAAGAACAGGAGGCTGTCACTTCCGACAGAGTAAAAGTTACTGCGTGGCTACTTATCTTTTATCCTCACTTAATATTGTACAGTATTATCACACTTTACTGTGGAAAGTCTCTCTGGGCATTGTGGCCAAAGAAAAAGCTGCTCTTTTCATCAGTCCCCTAGAGCATACATCAGACGGCCTCACAGGTCAACTCCAGTTTTACACCTTTTAAAACTGCGAACAAAAACGGCAACACGAGTAAGGTTAGAGCAATGTTTACGTCTCCAGCTGATTTCCTTAATACTGAGGGCAAAAATGAAATTCAAATACAATACCAACGATGTGGCTACAGTCCTCAAAGCCGTGGAAAGGATCGTCTGACTCCCCGTTGTTTCTGTGTTGTTATTACTTTGTACAAAGGTGATGGACAACAAAAGCTGGTGTAAAAACGGTGGGCAAATAGGTGTTTTGCCAGGTTTAATGCCCCCTTTGATACCAGCAATTGAGGAAAATTATGAAAATAATGTGCAGACATGAATGCACTTGACTGGCACTTTTGTTACATGACTTACTTACACAACAGTCAACTAGCGTGACCATTTGTGCATACACCTGAAATATCAGTATTTGCGGCTAATCTTGGCACAACTCTACAGATTACAAATTAATGATGCTTCATGCAGAGCAAGGATGAGCACCTTACTTTTCTCATATAGAAGCCTTTTTTTATTAACTAACAGACCACTGAGTTGGTGATAAAGTACATCTATATTTACACCATGAACTTAGTAATTTCAATATATGGGGCAAATGAACTTTGTTCAAAGATGATTATTCTAGAAGATGATTATCCATAAATCATGGCAAAATTTGAAATATTGGGCTTTGGAGAACACACACTCATCATTGCAGTAGATGTGACAAATCATCCTAGAACAAATGCTCATATTTTGCTTATATCTCTGTTTAGACATAAATATCATGATCACCTACAGGATCATATGGAGATGTCACTAACAGACACTGCCTGGTTCAATCACAAATTATGTTGAATATTTCAAGGCACAGACAACCTAATCAAGCTGATTTTTTCAGATGCCCAACTTATCATTTTCTGATAATCTAGGGCAAGAAAAAAATCAGATTACCAATTTTAATCCAAGAAAATCAAGTCTAACTTATTAAGTCCAGAAATAAGCTTTTTGTAAAATACATTATATATTCACTCAAGAAGCACCCTAAAAATAATATGTCAAGCTGAAAAAAAAGAGTCCAAGGTAATGCGCCCCAAAACACTGTTAACTGTCTTGTCACCCTTACCTGTGCTATGGCTTCAAAATTCTCATGTCCTTTCTGCAGCTGTTTGGCACGGCTTTGATTCTTTCCAATAGTGAGATTCTTCTCCAAAAATACTTCCCCATGCATTGTCAACCAATCTATAACCTGATGAAAATAATCAGAAATTGAAAAAATTATCACCAGCATTTGAGGAAACACATGCAAAAGTAAATTTAGCTCCTATTTTCCTATAAAAAAGGAAGTACACTGCGTTTCACAATGCACACAACACAATTGTTATAATGTTCATAATTTTCAGTGCCTTTAAGATTAAAAAAATAAATAAATAAATAACAAATGCCTCCTGAACATCAAAAATGTAACTAAATATCTGATATATCAAAGGTGTACAAAAAAAACATTTACCTGCTTGACATCCTGCTGGAATAATTTCAACCCCAGTCTCTGGTGTAGTTTTACTTTCTTTTCATGCCACTCATCTTCCAGCTGTCTATGCTGGGCTAGTACCTGGAATAGTGATTAGCATTAAAATTATCATCACTACCTATATACACAGCACTGACAGACCCAGTGACACTTTACTTCTAAAGCGAATCCTTTTATCATTTAATTTTTTTCCTTCATATTTCTATTCAATTCTACCCCTGCATGCATTATTCTGTTCAACCTAGACATTAGCATACTTAGTATTATGTTATCCACTTAAGTTTTAACTTATTCAAACTGTATAATATACCTGAAAGTAAGCCAAACCTATGGAGGATGATTTAGCTTGCCATGTATGTGAGATAAAGTGGTAAATTTTCATGAGAGAAAGATGAGGAATAAATGTCTTTCAACATTTATTTTTACAGCCAGAGTTTGCACTGACATCTAGTGGAAAATGTCTTGAGCAAAGTCTAGTGAATAAACTGTAAGCTTGAGAAACTTTCAGAATTATCACACAGTGTAAATATGTTTGATCTTTGTGAATAATAAGCATACCTCATGAACAACATCCAATACATGAGCCGCCCCCTCAGAGTAATCTGCCTTGGCTGTGATGGAGTTGGTGCTACAGCTAACTATGGGAGTCTGAAGAGTGTCTAACAGCTGTTTGCCTTCCTGGCACACCTAGAACAAATGTGACATTGATACAGAAAGGCAATGGTTGTAAAAAAATAAAGAGAACAACTTGGATTTGTCCACAGGTAAATACCAGCCATCCAATTGTTGTCATGCTATAAAGGGCAGGCATTGAAATATTAAAAAATCATAAATACTAAATGCAAAAAAAAAAGTGACATTAATTTACTCATACTTAAGGGTTCATTAATGAGAAAAGTTTGAAGATTTCATGAAAAATGAGTAAAACTTTTTCAATACTAATTGCAGGAAAATGTATCATGTAGTAAGTACAAGTGAATTTTAGAAGTCGAATGGTACTGATGGTGCATTCTGTAATAGTACATCCAGTACTTCTCTATTTCAGTCTACAATGTCGCATTTTTCACAAATAATACAGCTTTAAGTCACTACTTAATTTGCTATATGACCTACGAAAATAGTTCAAAAGACAGCAGTTGTAGCAGTATTACTATGAGACATGACAGAAGTTTTGTTAGAAAAACATCTAAGGCCACTGAAAGTAATTAGTAGTACTACTACTATCAGAGTTAAATCCAGTGATGGTTAAATCCACTTCTAAAATTTCAAACAAATTTCGACACAGCAAATGCTAAAATTAATGCTTCACATTATGCATTGTTTTAAAATACCAGCACACCAAACCCACACTTGCACAGTTATGTATTAGTTATCAGTAGTTATCAATGCCCACATTGCTGTATTCCTTACAGTAAAAGCATTCTTCTTATATGTCAAATAATTAATTACACTGAAATCATTAGAGTAAACTTTAAGCCTATCCTTTAACAGCTGTTATTTACCAAATATCACTTGATTTATGCTCATTTGTTTGACATGCAACCGAATTTTTTTCATAATTGCAGATCAAGGTCTGAACATTTTTTTATAACATTTTCCAAGTTAAATACCATAGCTACTGAACTTAAACCCTCAATATTGTTAACCATACATTTCAAAGGCATTTGTCATATATAACCTTTCTTATTACATTTAAAGATAATTTTAAAAAATATTTGAGAAAAAAAATGCAAGAAGTATCCTACTTCAAGCCTCAAGATCCAAGCCTAAACTCGAATTGTGGAGTCATTTTCTGGGAGAAAACTAAAATTTTATATCTAACGAGAGCAAGCTCATTTTTTGCAGCTGTTCAATGATAGGCAACACAATTGTGAGTAAATGACAGTTATCAAATCTAGCCATCAAAACTATAAAATTGCAATAAATTAATGTGTATATCAAGCAAGCATCACGCCCTTGTCAGCTAGTGAATCCTAAAAAAATCTACAACTGCTTTTACCATTTCCTGTTTCTCTACTGCTAATTGAGCGAGCGATGAGATCTCGACCATCTGGACATGCAAAAATGGAGAAAAAAAATTAACGTCAGATCATGCATGGGTGGTAAGAGCAACACAAAGCATTGGTAATTGTTCATACAACACTATCAAACCCCACACACCAATCAATATATCTTGAGCCATAAAGCACAGGAATCAAGCCAGTGTTTCTCTGGGTTACCTCAGTATAAGACTGGTTAATAATTTCAATGAGATTCTGGTGCTGACTGATGGCTTCTTCTATCTGCTGGGTTTCCTCTGGAACCTCTACCTTCTCTATAGCAGACTGCCAGTTGGGAACTTCGTTCAGATACTAAAATATAATAATAATAATAATAATAATAATAATAAAAATAATAATAATAATAATAATAATAATAATTTGTTCAGCTTACAATATATACAGTGAAATAAATTCATTCATCAATCTATACATCAGAAATAAATTTCTGTTGGAGCTTCTAAAAGAGAAATATTAATCATAAAAATTATTAATAAAAAAGAGGAATTATGAAGAAAAATTATTAATAAACCTATAAAAAGGCAAAAACTTTTTAAAACTCTCACTTCCTCTGTAAGTTTTAACAATCTAAAAGCATGGTGATAAAAGTCCCTCATTGTATTCTCCCTGTGATATTCAGAGATACAACTAAGAGGGTATTTCACATTTTTACCCTTTTACCATAAGAAATACCTCTGTTATATGGCTTCTCTTGTCATTCTATCATTATTTTTAATAATGGTTGTAAAAGATTCCATGATTTATTATCACTTTACTGCAAATCTGCAAGTTATGAGTTACGTATCAAGCATATATATAAGCCACAACACACATATAAGCCGATTGCAGTAAAAATATTTAAAAGAAATCTTCATTCCTATCAAGCCCTTCATTATCCACCAATAAATAAATCTTTTATGCAGGATAGTCATTCAATCATAATTCACTTAAATGAAGTTTAAAATAAAGGTTGACTTGGAACAGGATGATGAAACATTTTCAGTACCAATTATGAAACAAGAGCGAGAAGAGATCCAATTTTGTATTCTCAGCAGATTGGATAAGTCACCCAGAAGAAGATGCTACATCGTCAATTATGCCAAACTGTAAGCCCAGTAATAGATTTAAAACTAAATCACATCTTTTCTCCTGGATATGAACTCACCAGCTCAGCTCTTTTATGGAACATCACAGACATGCTTAATACTGTGCTGCGGTCATCAAGGGCAGCCTGGTAAGCTTTCCACTCCCGGTCCAACTTAGTGGACTGGACATGGATAGTATTGGCAGCATAGTGACCCGACTCAACCAACTGCTCTGCTATTGACAGGATACGACTTATGCTGTTGTAGATATTCTGAAAGGGCCAAAAATATGTCAGTGAGAAGTATCTTTTAAATTTTTGCCTTTATGTTGCCATAACAGATAATGCAGCTTTTATACTAAGAATTAGAAATATAGTGCCCAGACTACAGCTGTTGCCTTGCTTCCAGGTGACATAGTTAATGCTGCTGTAAATTCTTAAAGCAGAAAGAAAATACATTTATTTAATATAATTGTTTATTTAAAAGATTTTTTTCAATTAGACCACTGTAAATAAACATGTATGGACAAGATGTTACTGTAAAAGCAATTTTAAAATATTACATTTCTATTTAAAAATGCTGTTCAAGTTAAACACCGTTTCAAAGACATTACTACTACTAATATACTGCTACTGTTTCTACACCTACCAAAGAGTCTTTGGCAAACCCTGTGTGGAGTTCATGCAGCTCCTGAGCATTCTGGAAAGACATGCCAATTCTGGTGTAGCTGACCAGGAAAGAACGCTTACTACGGTTGAGCCAGTCATATGTCTGGAAAGCAAAAATATAAATGTGAAAAATTTTCCAAATTAGTCTGCCAATACAGGGATTTATTTGGGTCAGAAAATAGTACCTATGCCCCCCCCTCCCAATCCACCCACTAGATCAGGGACTGCCCCACAACACACACTATAATATATTAAAGGATACTATTTCTTGTTAATCCAATTATTCTTCTTTCTATCAATGAAGTGCAATTATCAAGGTTCTGATTCAAATTATTACTTTGGCATTGACATATCAGTTGTTCCTATTGGAATTCTATTAATCTTTACATGTAATACATCATATGAAACAGCTGTGCTCAGCCAATATGACATACTATGGTGCTAGTCATGCAGAGAGCTACCAGAGACAGAGAAGCGATTGCTGGCCAGTGCTATGAAGCAGGGCACACTATGGTTATGATGATATCTAGAGTGACCACAGCAGCTCAGCAACCACAATCAATATCTTCCCCACTGAGGAACAATTTAATTTAGCTTTACAAGCAAAATAGCGATTGTCCTCTCACACTTCTCATTTTTTAAACAAGCTTTTTTATTTGGGGGGAGGGCGGAGGTTGTCCAGTCATTTTGAATGTGAACATAATTCCATGCGTAAAGCAAATGTTCCATGAGTAAAGCGTAAAGTTCCCAAAGCAATGTCCAAGTACAGACACTTTTTAATGTGGTATTTGGTGAACTAAAAAGCTGGTGTAATCCAATAGCAATACCAATAGTTATATCTATTCTCATGGAGTCAAAATACACTACAGTCAAAATACACTACATACTTAATCTATTAATTCTGTATTTTAGCCATTTATAATCCAAAAGGCCATCAGACCTAGGCCCAGAACAGTCTAGTACATGTACCTTGTCTACATCTCTCTCAAAGAGTCTAAGCTGATGGCATTGGTCTAGCTTGGCTTTCTTCAGGTGCCATAGCTGGTACAAATGCTGCCTGGTAGAGTGGAGATTATCAAGGAATTTTTTGATCTGAGGAACCACGGTGATGAAGTCTGCATTCCCAGAATGCACCGGCCCTGTCTCATTGTAACTGCCTGTGGGATAAGAAACCGAAGAATAACAAAAACAAAATTCATGAAGAAATAATACTAATTTGTCTTTATTCATTATATCTCTCCAAAAGAAGAAAAATCCAACAGGTAAAATGGAAGCTTGCTGAAATATACATCAGTAACCCATATATGTTGATTAAAAGATTCCTTCATTATATAATTAAAAAAAGTGGTTTTGTTTCTATACTTATGTATTTCATAATATTCTCATGGAATAGATTTTGCATTTAATAATATACAGCCGACTTGTGGATGCAGTGAAACACTCATTAACAGGTCATAAAAATATAATACAATAGTACAAATACGAACTATTAACTTCAATCATTCATTTCATTCTATTGCCATCATCCTCATTATTCTTGCCACTAAGAGGATGATAGTAAAATGAACAAGGTCTATTGGCTTCTCTACTCATACCCACCATCTCTATTATAAGCACCTATTCTCTGCAAGATCCTCCTCCCCTCTAGGTCCAGAGTGTCAATGGGGGCGTGGTCTACCTTGGTTTTGATCCTGCCATGTTCTTCTAGTCTGTACTGGGAGACCTTCAAGTCCTCTGGCAACTCGGGGTGTTTCAGGATCAACTGGATTTGATCAAATCTTGCTAGCAAATCTGTGGTTTTGTAGGTGAATTCTTCCAAAAGCTGGAAATGAAAAATGAATCTTTTATCATAATGGCTGCTTGTAATTTTCAATTCAAGGAGTGTGAAACACAAAACATTATCAAACAAGTCTGAAACAATTTATGCCAAAATATGGCAGTTTTTTTCCCCTCAAATAACTCCTTGGTTAAACAGGGACCGTAATAACCGTACAGCTCACTTGACCTATCTCACTTATAAGTTAAGAATAATGGAGATCAAAATTAACAGAGACATGTTCATGCATAAAGTCCACATTCTTGCTTGACCACAAAAAGTTTCTCCAATTAGTCTCTGAGGAGTTGCATTTAAAGCACAGATTTTTTTTTAATCAGACTAAACTGAGCATGATACCCAACCAAAAAGGGACAATCTAAAATCTCTGGCTTACATCAACTGCAACTTGGGTTGATGAACTTGCCATTAAATTAACTTTATTGTTTAGTGATCATTATCAGATTATTGACATAGTAGGCACTAAGTTAGATAAGCCCATCACCAATGGAGACAGGCCTTGAGCTTTACCCTGAATTATTAAGCTTGGTTCAAAATAAAGGTATGATCCTAATGGTACTCTTTTAAAAACTTGCCAGATAAACTTTTTGTGGTCAAGCAAGAATGTTCAATTTATGTGCAGACACGTCTTTGTTGGTCATCATGGTTTCTCAGCTAATGTAAACATCGCATAAATACAGGACTGATCACAACACCTACCAATCTAAGCTCTATCCACTCCTCATGAAAATAATTTAGCGTTCCATCAAAATCTGCAGTTAGCTGATCTGAGTCAACTATCTTCAGTAAGCTGTCTATGGAGATCATGTGTGTCTGAAATAATAATAATAATAATAATAATAATAATAATAATAATAATAATAATAATAATGAAGATTTCAGTTTGTGTTTCTGTTTCTAAACATCATTTTTAACCACTGTATAAATCATAAACACAATGATGTGACTGTTTCATCACTGCTTCTACAGTAAAACCATGCTTAATAGTTGGGACTTGTTTTACATTTTCCATGACCACAGAAAGAGAAAAAAATTTCTGCAAACAGTTGGTCCACAGCAGAATAATTCCCACCATGCCAAACAGTCTCATTAGGAGTCTGGCAGAAAAAAAAAGCCTTACAAAAAATCTTACTGATTTTAGTTCCACTATCACAAGAACACAGAAGAGCACATAAACAGTGAACCTCTAATATTTATTACTACACCCTTCCTGTAATGGCAGTTACTGAGTACATAATGGGTGCATTGCTCTTAACAGGGGCACCTCAAATGAAGTAGGTGCTCATATCTTATAGAGATATATGATTGTAAAAACTGTTGAGAAGGAAGAAATTAGCCGAATGCCACCCCCATTTCCCCTAAAGCTTAACATAGGTGTATCAAAAAGAATAAAATTAATAGGGATGGGTGGGTGGGGTGGAAATGTTATTTACTTTCTGAACAATTAAATTTAATGACAAAAACCCTTTCAATGGATTGTTTGAAGATTCTGTTTGAAAAAAAAAAACATACACAATACTATATCTGTGATTAAATATGGTCAAATACCAACAACAAGAAAATTCATTGCTGGCCCTTTTCACACTGCTTGAAGAGATGAAATGGATTATTCAAGAAATTGGTTCTGATACCAACCTCAAATTTATATTTCGAACTACCTATACTGGTTCTCTGCTTCTCCCAAAATTTCTCTGGCTTGATGATAAATGTTATATTCACATTCCCCGGAAAACACTCCTAGAATGAACAAAGAACATCATAAAAATGGCAGTGTGTGTGTGTGTGTCTGTGTGTGTGCATGCATGCATGCGTGCGTGCGTGAGTGTGTGAGCATGCACAAAACACATATAACCAAAGCTGGGCTGATTTCAGCATATGCATTATGGCCAAGAAACAAATAACAATTTTAATAAACCCAAACATTTTTTAACAAATTTTAGCTACTTAAAGCTTATTTTTTTAAATCTTCAAAGGACTTTATATGGCCCATCACTTGTAAATCCAAACAGCAAGTATTTTACCCACTGTTGTTAATTTTTATTTTTAAAAGAATATTAAAAAGAATTGGTGTTTATCTTACGTATTTTTGCAATAAAATCTTTCCTTCACCCTATTCAAACAATTCCTGTATAATTTAATTTCATTTATTTTGGCAACCCTACTTAACTCCCAAATTCAAATCCCAAACATTAAGTTTGTGGTCAATAAGTTCCCAGTGGAAATTTAGTTATTCTATTTTATCACTTCAAGGTTAAACCAATGGCAAAACAGCGAAAAAATTTCAATAAAAATGTCTTGGGATTTGCTGAGTTGAAAATGTGTTATTAAGTTTAACAGTGAATTTTGATAACAACATAAATATAGGCAATGTTCACTACTGATACTGCTAATAATAATAATAATAATAATAATAATAATAATAATAATAATAATAATAATAATAATAATACAACTTTATCTTTTATTTACTAATACTAGGATGATAAGATTAAATAAACCCATAATTACATAAAATATAAAAACTAAAAATCTTTTTACTTCTACTGGGTTGTTTTTCATTTATTTATACATCAAAAACAAGGGCAAACCAACTCACCTGTAAGGCTTTGAGTATTGGTTTTACATTATTCCACGTTGACCCTCGCATATCTATGATGACTGTGAAGCCTCTTTCCTTCACCTCATCACTGTAAAATTAAAAATAACAGCATAGTAAAACAAGATACATAAGTGTAATATTGCAAAACTCTGTGAATCTATATCACTTTACAAGCACAAACCTAATGGGAGAAGTAAAAGGTAAGGAAATATTTGCCACAATTGCAAAAAGAATAACATGATACTTAACTTGGCCCAAAAGTGTGAGGATAATAAAGGGACCATTCCCACAGATATTTGGATCAATCTATCTCCCTGGGGAGTCTCACTAAATTGCTCTCAATCTAATTGGATTTAATGTCTGCCATGCCTAGTAAAGCTGCTAGGGGGTATTTATCTTTACCCTAGCTGATTAGGTAGGCGTGACAGACAATTAAGCTGGTTAAGTTGGCAGCAATTTAGTAAGACTCCCCAAGGAGATAGATCTATCCAGATGGATCGCTCTAGGGATGGGAACCCAGTCTAAGACATGTAAAACAACAGTGCCATACAATTGATATTCTCTACCCTTTTCCTGGGTGAACTCATCCCACCCTCCTATCCCACCAAAAATAAGGTCTCCAATTTAAACACCATAAGACACCTCCCCTTTGACTTAAGCTTTAAATACCCCAGGATCTGCCACTGGGAATAACTTGCACAACTATAAAACTCAGCGCTCATAGTTGCTAAAAATATGGATGTTCATGATATAATTTAATTACTTTGTGGTTAATTGTTTTCTGATAATGTTCTGGTGGCTTTTCTGTTCTCCACACAGCTGTGCCCACAGCAATCATATTCACAGTCACCATAATAAGCATGCTAATAATGGCAATATTTAGAACATTCTTTCATATTTCATTTCCTCTGAATAAGAAACATAAATAAATTGCCGACTATGATATAACACCTATCTCTCCAATTCAAAGGGATATCTCCTAGAAACAAAACATCCCTGGATCTAGAAATCACTTGAACAAATATAACATTTTTTTCTAAATACCACATGGCTGATGAGTTGTTGTATTATTTGGTATGCCAGAGTGTTAAGGGTTAAATTGCCACTTAAGAATTTCCACCTCTCCTAAAACATTATACCTGTTATGAAGGAATGCAGCCAGGTGCCTATAACTTGTTATCATTCTACTTAAACTTGGAAAACAAGTTTTGTAGCTAAAATACTTACTAAATGTTTTTATAGTATGTTGATTAGGCAACTCAGCAAGTTGAATTATGTATCTACACTTACTGTAGCCAGATTAATAATCCTTGTTGGTATTGTACAAGCACAAGGGACAAGTTGTGTTAATGAGAGTACAGAGTTCTGTTGTATTGTGTACTAGTAATATTAAGTCCTCCTGTATGACCAGTAATCTACAGTCAATTACTAGACATATACATGATATGATAAGTGGTCTACTCCTAAGGTATGAGTGATAATCAAAAAAGCTGAAGCATTATCACCTAGACCATACAATATCACATTTTCCTGTGCTGCCTAATTTGATATTTATTCTGAGGCTTTTTTCTACTTTTTCTCTATATCCCAATAGTCACATAAAAACCATGAGGTAAAAATGAATAAAAAATACTGCACATATTACCCTGACATTTTAAAGAGGAGATACAGTCTCTACTCTAGAAAACAAACACCTGGCCTTTAAGATGTAAAACCCATAACATTTTCTTAAGGGGTTATATCATCTCAAGTTTTCACCAGGACAACTCAGTCTTGTATGCAGCAACTTCTACGAAATGTCAAAGTTACAAAAAAAATAAACGTTATTTGAGATCACTCATCATCTTCATGTTCAGCCTCAACCATGATGAAAAATGAATGAAGCAGTTGTAGTTTTATGCTTTTTCTAGGGAAACATATAGTCCACTTTTAACCAGAAGAGACTATTCACACTGCACTAAAAAACTGATTGACTGATTTAGGCTTCATTCACATGCAATGTCTATTTTCTCGGCGGCTCTCGTTAAGTGCAATCAGCTTAACTGAATGACATGCCTCCTTGAGCAGCAAGCTAAACATTAATTACCCACTAGCTGCTCGAGGAGGCATATGAGACAAGGCGATTCCACTGATTGCACTTAGCCAGAATCCCCCACAGAGTTGGACCAACTGAACTAGTACAATGAGTTCATCTGAATGGGTCTTACACCCCATTTCCACAGATTTTTAGATCGATCTATCCCTGTGGGGAGTCTCACTAGATTACTGTCAGCTTGGCCAGCTTAAGCGTCTGTCCTGCCTACTAAAAGCGGTAAGGGGGTAATTAACTATGGTGCCCGCTCAGCTGACTGCAATTTAGCTTGAACCCCCAGGGAGTTAGGTCGATCTAAATTTTAATCTTTAGATCGATCTAAATCTCTGGGAAAGCACCCTTAGAGACATTCTTAACTGCTGGTTTAACACCATGGTCAAGCAATTTTAAGTGATTGCAATTAATTATTATAATCAGGTAAGGGAATAATCCTCCAAATCCAGCTAATAAGTATGACAACAGTCAAAAGAAAACAAACCTAGTGAAGCATTGGAGTTGTTCTGAATTGCACATAATAACAGATCTATATATCAATCTATTAAGTGTGTGAAAAGAATCTTTAAGGTTAATGGAGTCTTCCCAGGGTTTATCCAAGTTAAGTATCTGGTTGCATAAGCCAGATTCTTTACCTGTCTGTCTGAGAACACACTGTCTCTTCTTACTCATGTGTGCTGTTGAGATAAACTGTTTTCTTTGTAATGCTCTGTTTGAGGCTAAATTTGATATCATCGGCAATAAATACTTCAGCAACTTCTTTCCCAGTAAAGAATAAGATAAAAAATCTAGGATCAAAATAGCATGCATCAATTAAATCAATGAGTGTAACTAATTTGGCTGGGTAACTGAAGCTGACATCAAACTGCAAACATGTTGGCCCCATATCATCTTTGTAAAATATGTCATCTAAATGGAAAGCAAATATGCTGATGGTGTTTTCACCCTTGCCATGTCTTCAACCATGTTGTCAAACAAAGTCTGTGATGTCATATTTGACCTAATACTGTAACATTAATTGCTTGTGACATATATTTCATACTGAGCCTGTCAAATTATTACAATGCTTGATTGTTTTTTCCAAGTTTGATCTCAGCCACATTAACAGAGCATGCCTCCCTTCCCCATCTATACACTGCTACTACCAAAATTAATAGGTATCTCAAAGGACTTAAGTCTTTTCATTTTTATAGCACATTTTCAAATTTCTATTCTGAAATCCCCTTTAGTCAATAGAAATCATTGAGTCTAAAGGCTGTCAGCACTGTGTATCCTCACACAAGACTAGAAAATGTTTGAGAATACCTGTGGGGTGGGTTCAACTTTTTAGTGATAAGGGTAAAACACTGTAACTGAGAATGTTGTCTTATAGAGAATATAATTGTGACATGCATGGTGAATTGAAAAAATACTACACTGCCTTATGATGGCCATAAAATCTTAACCATTTCACCCTGTAAATGTGAGCAGATCTGATGACTCGTGCTTCATTGGTTTCTATCTGGTGCATGAACAGAATCATTAAACCTACTGTTTACATAGCAGTGCAGTAGAGTACTTATAAATGTGGCCGTACCCTAATTAATATGAATATTGCAAACCATTGCTCCAAAGGCCTACAGGAAGTCTTCAAGACGCTGGTCAATAATACAGTATTGGGTTCAAAGATTTCACTAGCCCTCCAGTCTCTCTCTCTCTCTCTCTCTCTCTCTCTCTCTCTCTCTCTCTCTCTCACACACACACACACACACACACACACACACACACACACACACACACACACACACACACACACACACACACACACACACACACACACACACACACACACGTAAAAATAAGTATATCCACTCAAAATCTGCTAGCCATTTTTATCCATGACGCATATCCAGGTGATTTACAAGCATTCGTGAAATGAGATTGATTTTTTGTCTCGAAATGTGCTGTACAGTGTTTGAGTGGGTATTAACCTATTTAAGGGACACATTTCGACAATAGATACCAAGAAAAACAAGAACATTTGAGCCAACCAGATACTGTGAAACCACTAAATAAATATAACCAAAAATATTCCACTAAGTAAATATTACCAGAAATATTCCACGAACTGATCCATGCAAATCACAAGGGGAAAAGCACAGAACAGAATTTCTACCTGGATGGATAAAAAAGACCCTTTCAGACCCAAATAGTCTCCTTAAAACTTGCTTCTTTTTCTTTTGAATTTTGACCAAACAGATACTCAATAACAGCTGTTTTGGGGTCTTTTAAGAGAAAGGTCAAAATTGCCTTGCTTAATATTTTACAAATTACAGTAATACTTGAAATGACCAATAACTTGTGAAGTAACTTAAGAAGCTCAAGCCTGTATGGGACAATCAAGAGTGTGTATATGCATGCACATGCATGCTTGCCTGAGTGAGTGCATGTGTGTGTATTAATTTTTTTTTAACAAACAAAAAATGATAAAAAAGACATGGGGTGGGAGGATGCAGTATAATACATGATAATAATCATGTGGCCTTCTTTCTATCATTACTAAATTACAGCACTGACTGTCAATCTCTTGAGAGGCAGCTTTTTCATGCAACATTCCCAGCAGTCACATAGCAAAACACTAATCTCATGTACAACGTTGATCATAACTCCATAAACTTGGCTCTTTTCCCTGGAGAGGACAAGTTAGAGTCCTTTTGCACAGGAATCACAACCACAGAAGGCTGACTCATGATGGAATTGAACCTTAACTTGGTCCAGATTATTGTGGATATTGTAAAGCAATTTAAGGAGAAGGTAAATAATTAACAGCTATTCCCAGGATTTTTCTATTCCATCCTTCAGTGGTTGTAACTGCTGTTTTTTGCAAAAGCCAAGACAGGAACTCTTTCAACTAAGCTGCACTGTTGGTAAATACTAAACATGACATTATGTGGAATGTTCCAAAATTGTTTTAACAAATTTGTCTATGATCAGTAGGCTCTTTCTTCTGGACATGCAATCCTGAGAGGGTACAATCCTGAACCTGTTCTCATTCTTTACACCTGCAAACACACTTTCCATCACTTTATATACACTTCCATAAATCAGTTTCATCCCATGAGGATACTAGTATATATCTTTTTTCCCTTCCCCTGCACCTGGAGACCATAGAAACCAAAGGAGGGGGGGAGATCACATTAAAAAACTATGTACTTACCATGGCACACTTGCGAGATATGTCATAAGTTTACGTAGGTCATCATAGCGCATCTTCTCTGGGTGGGTGTGAGAGGGAAATGTCAGGATTGGTCCACCCCGTTTATCACGACCACCTGGGGAGGAAAAAAGATATTCTGAGGTTAAGTCTGGAGAAAAAAATATAACATACAAAGAGCTCTGCCTCAGTTTGTATTCTATGGAAATAAATATCAAGGTTAATATAGGCAAATATCAACTTTTTTTCTTAGTTTTATGGTAATTACTGCAGCTAGACCTTCATCTTTGAGAGCTGAAGCAGATAAATTGTACACATTCAAATAAACATAGATCTTGATTAAAAACAGAAGAATGCATAAAATATTTGTTTCCTCTCAACAAGGGTACATCTAAGACAGTTGATGTATCTTAGCAATGAGGAAAATCTATCTTCAAACATATAGATTAGAACCTTTAAAAGGGAGTCATGAAAACAATATCATATGTACCCTGTCTCATAAATTTACAGGTTCAAGAACAAGAGCAGTTAATTTCTCCCAGCAATTGACTGAGATTCCAAATGGTTTTAGTTTCAATAATCGAGAAAAAGTGTCATCTTCTTAATTGCCTTATTTAGTCTAGAAGCAACAATAAAAACTCGTATACCTAGGCTTTTTATAATATATGACAAAACTGAATATAATACATTTGCACAGAATATCTGTACACCAGAACTATGCAGCTAAAAGCTTTATCAAATAAATCACCCAACATATCTATGAAGGGCCGAGGAAAGTTATCTTTCCATTTATTTTTCAGCACTGCCTTTTTTGTAAATGGGAAGTTTAGCAACCCAGTATCAAAAAAGAATGTTAAAATATTAAAATCCATACCATGTGTATTTATCCAAAACAAAAGCCAAGGTGAGAGTAAAGGGCACAGGAACCAATTTTTAAAATATGTTTTATGCTCATACCCATATTTTAGTATTTACTCAAAAAACAAACAGATCAAGGTGAGTTATGGAGCTATAGCCAATCTTGTCAATCACAATTATCCTATTCTGGACCAGTTCCTTTGCTTCCCAGGTGTTAAATGAGGCATCAGTCAAGATTAACATTACCTAACTGTCATAGGACCAGTTCAGACAGGGTCATTTCAGACCAGTAATCAGACTTATCCAACAGTCAAAGAGCCTGCTCAGACAGGGTCATTTAAGACTGATAATCAGACAACCAGACTGATCAAAGCAGAGATTGAAACATATAAGTCAAATTGGTGTTTATGCATACAGAGGATTGGATTAAGTAGATAACCCATCAAACTTCTGACAGACAAAGCACTGGATGTTTGATCATCTGATGGTGTAGAGTGAATCTGATCTCCACTCAAAGATAGACTTGTTTCCCAACTGATCTAAAAAGAATAATACTACAACCTTACACAGACAGTATAAGCACCTGCTAGAGGTGGTGAGATTAAACTTTCATTATCCCACAGCCATCATTGCATTTGTATGTGGCTTACGCGCACAACTATATTTTAATACGCTTCAGTGTGTTCATCCTATTGTTTGAAGTGCCAGCCGTAGGATAAGTCAAAGCGCCTCAATTTAATTATGCTCTTGTATGTTGCATACAGTAGACAAAAAGTAGTTGTAACTAGTACTTAACCATCTTCAGTTCAAAGTTGATTGCTTGACAACGTACTGTGGAAAAAACTTTGATATAGTAAGATCAATATCTTTCTCACACGAGGCCAAATTAAAACCGGTTTAAACCAATGTCAATTATCTTTCGTATACAGGAATCATATCAGAATGGTTTTGAGACATGAAAGGTTAATCCAGTTGGGAATGAAGGAGGATAATGGAGCCATTAGTAACATTACATTATATCAAATAACACATTTAGTTTTGGTTATCTGATGGCCTGTGGAAAAAATCTGAAAAAAAAAAACCCATACTGATAGCACTCTGAAACAAGGTAACGAGGTACAGCATAACCTACAAGAGAAGCATGATTTTAACAAAAGATTAAGTTCTATAAAACAAAAGCCGACCGAACATCATCCAAACAGATTATGTAACAAGACTGAGAGTGGTTCCACCTGTAGTCACAGTAGCTGGAGTCTCCAAGAGGGAGAAAAAAAATATTCAATAAAAATAAATTTTAAGTCCAGTAATAAATTTAGATGCTTAATTCATCAAAAAGGTTGGATTGTTCTCCATGTAAAATGCATTTTGGGAACAGCAATCTCAGCAGTACGGCGAATAGTTTGGGATGATCTGTTCTGTATTATATCAGTGTTGATTTGTAGAACAGATTACAGGTATTTCCTATTAGCTCATCACATGCAAGCCAGGGGTGCAGGGCTTATGAAGGTCTTGGGTGTGTAAATAATTCTAACACTCAGAACACTGTCAGCATGATAACACATACTCAACCAGATCTATGCTCATCATCTCTGTTCAAGTTTACTGCTGTAGCTTATGGAAAAGATCACAAATCTAAAGGTGGAAAAAGATACTGCAATATGTCCTAATATATAAGCAACTATGAGGATCTGACTTGAATCCTATAGATGCAAGTGAATCATCAAGGGTAAACCTGAAGCAAAGGATGCTATAAATAATATCACACACATCAATACTTCACTCTTTGAAGCTGTAAGAAAATGGACATAATTCACTCAGGTTAAGCATCCCTCCACCTGCCTGGAGCTCATGTATATCAACACAAACAGATATCACCTTCACACTGACCTATAAACCTTTAAGAGTAATCCTAATTTCATTCATTTTGATTGACTATTAATTAATGTCAATAAATCCAGTACAGGTTTAAATCAGACTTAATTTGAATACACCTTAGACTAATTCACATCATGTTTGAAAAGAGCTCTTCAACAAGAACTATAAAGATTTACCTGACAGATAGGCGATTTTCTCCCTCAGCAGTGGAACTATGTCTGCTGCCATGATCCCCTCAGGGTTGCGGTAACCTGAAAAAAGTCACATATAGCTCATAATGTAAGGCAGCAATTGTCATACCCATGTCTTACTCTATAAATATCACAAAATTTTTCAGCCATACCATAAAGCACACATCTACACAAATGTAGAAAAAAAACTAGATGATTATATTCCTATAATCTATAAATTGAACACCGATCATTATTCCCCAACTGTATACAAAGCCAGGAATGGAATTTACATTTGTCACAGCCATAATTGGTCTATTATCAAATAAATGAGTGCATAAAATGCATATTGCTTGTAATACTTCAAAGTATAAGCACTTCAGAAAAGCTGGCTGATGAGTGAAACCATACAGCTATCCTTAAACTGAGCATACCCAATCAAGAACCCTTGACAAAATGAAGTACATCTTTCAAAATTAGATGCATTTTATTTTAATTGCCACCCATGATCACCCCCCCCCCCACCCCCCAAAGAAAAAAAGGAAAAATTTAATTATCCAGTTGTTTTCCAAATAATACGGCTCTAACCCCTCCCAACACACACACACACACACATACACACACACACACACACACACACACACACACACACACACTCCAACAATGATCTGTCACAACCCTTACCTCTGGAGAACATGGAGACAACACAAATGTACATCATTAAATTCAACTTAACAGAACTAAACCATTATGCATTGTGACTCAAGAAGACAGTTGGAGCAAGTCTTATCTTCAGCCTTTTTTTCTCAGCATCTAGTAAAGTTCTGTTGATGTTGGACATCTGTATAGACAAATCCAGCTCATTTTCTGACACACTACACTTGTTTAACAACAGCTGCTAGTATTAACCCCTTGAATTCCACTCTGATCTACTAAGAACACAAATATGTCTTCTTACTCTGAAATGGTGCTTCAAAACTTATAACTTTTTTGGTCAGTGGAGAGGGAACGGGACACAACCTGATAATTAGGGCCTCATGTTATGCATATCCTTTTAATGTACATACATACATACATGCATGCATGCATGCATGCATGCATGCATACATACATGCATACATACATGCATACATACATACATTTTTGTATATTCCACTTATACAAGTCATCATAACACAAATACATCAAAACAGCCCCATCAAAATAATGCATTTCTGGCCACACAGAGACATTCAGTATATTTACCAAAGCATAGACAGTATAAAAAAAATACTAGCCCCCAGAAAGGACCCACCTGGCAGTAACTAACATAAGGTATACATCACAGCTCCATCCCATTACTCAACATGTTAACCCAATTTGAGTACAACTTTCAAGAGACAAATTAGTGGTACTTGGGTGTCCCAAATCATTTGGGACACCCAAGTACCACTAATTTGTCTCTTGGGTGTCCCAAATCATTTGCTCAAAAAAGATTTAAAACAATATATTCTTTGGCCTTTTGAAAACCCTTGACCTTCATCTTTTCTGGATGGGAACCATGTGAAATAAGAATGTGATATTTGAGGGGAGTCCAGAAACATAAGCATCTCTTCCAGCAAAACCTTGTCACTTTGCTTGAACTGGAAAAGAATTGGAAATACTAAAAAAAAAAAGGATGCACATCTAATTACAAGTGCAAGTAGTAACTTGCAATTTTAAAAACGTCAACTTGATATTACAGTCATGACAGAAGATTGTCCAAGGGAAAAAGGTTAATCTATCTAGAAGTTATTGCTTAACTCACAATTTGGATTTCTGAAAAAAGAACTCAAACAGCTCAATGTCCAGCTCCAAGCTAGCCAGAACTCAATGTCCAGCTCCAAACTAGTCAGCATTTTATTGCCCTCTCTAGAGAATTTAAAGGCATGTTTATCGCTAAGACAGTTTGACCCAACATAAAATATATATGTTGGTCGTCTGATAACAATTATAGCCAACAATCTAAAATGTGCATTTTATTTCAATTATAAAGGCAGTGGGCCGGAATAAAGAAGAACTGGATTAGTTGCCTTTGGTGAACTATTCAAAATCATAGCTTGCTATGATATGTTGTACATATGATAGATTGGTCAAACAACCCGGACTGGGAACAAAACTTACAAATATACTGTTTAGGAACAGTGGGCACCCTGAGCTCAGAGCACTGGTGGTAATTTTCCTCTAGTCATTCTGGAGACAGCATTATGCAAATAAGAGAGGTGGGTTTTCTGACTCTGTAACTCAGGTTGCCTGTGGGCAATTTGCTCAAGAAAAGTGAAAAAGAAAAGTTTAAATGGGAATTTACTTTTCAAGGAATCTACATTACTGGAAGAAAGATCTTTTTTTTTAGTGTCTCTCATTTACAAGATAGAATTTCAACTAAGACCTTTTAAGGACTGCTATTAAAAACCTACTGCAAAATTCACTGAAGCAGAAAAGAAAACCAGCAAGTCACTCAGAGAAGTACTTTAACCACAAATTGAATTCCGACAAAAATATTTTCTGGGAAGAATCAAACCTGGCTGTGGTTTGCAACTACAACAAGTTAACAATAGATGGATGGATTATCAGGATTTTTGACTAAAACTGTCCAAAAAGCATCTCATTAGAGTTCTATAAAATAATCATTAGTTTTGTTGTACATGATATGTAATACCCCCCCCCCCATCCACCCACAGACCTACCCACCCTTTCCAGAGCATTTACTAACTATTAATCATGCATATATATACATGAACATGCATCCTAGGCATTTATGGCATAGCATGATAATATCCAATACTTCTTTTCATCATATAATATAATACTGTAATCCATTCAACAAACTGCCACAATGTGCAAATGCAGGCTTAGTTAGGTCTGTGCATATGCTTGTAAGTGCATATATGTAAGTTGGATATTTTCTAAAGGGAAAGTATGATTACAGTTGTGTTTTTAATTGCCACATCTTCCTTTTTTCTATTCAAAGTCCAGAGACTAGTAACATCCTATTATATATAGAATGAAATCACTACCACGTGCACAAGATTGGCATTTTTACAGGAAGTGGAAATGCAAGTAACAAACTTAACTGTTCACAAAGCCAACAAAAAAAATTGTCCCCAGGAAATTTATATATTTTCATATGCAAAAATATGTGTCTCCCTTTTAAACTGACATAATTATGGGTAAAAATCATTTAAATGACATAAAAATGCACAGCTTGGGATCCTTCATGCAGTGCAACTCCTCAGTTGACACCGCCTAGCATTACAACTCGCGATCATCCACATGGGAAATAGACAAATGAATAGATATATTATATGTTCCTCTCTATCACTACACCGCTATCATGACTCATCCCTACAGCTAGGAAACCTGGAGAAACATAATGCAGATTGAGAAGTTCATAAACCCTGCAAGCACATATTGCCTTGCTCAGACATACAACCATTGGGAGCGGGCCTGGAATATCCACATACCAAATCTATGGTGTCCAATCATTTAATATATAAATGTGCTCCAGATAATTATCCATCACCTCAATGATTCAGGTAATGATTGGTACATGAGATGAGGATAATATTAGACCCAAGTGAGAAATACCATCAATATTGAAATTGACTGAGTCAACAGTTGCATCTTTTTCTGGTCATTGAAAAAGTATATCTCTATATATTACAATATTTTATACCAAACAGTACATATCATAATGACCTCAGAAGTTTGATCTTATCATCCTACACTGGCAGTCAGTAAGGAATGCAAGCAATTACTGGTACACCTTTTCTATAATTAAAATTTGGAAATAATGAGACCTCCAATGTTGATCTCATAATGAGGTCATATTCAGGCAGTCCAACTCTTCCATCCCATCCCAGCCTCAATGGGATAAAAAAATGTAAAGCTTATTATACTGCTACAGCCATCTCATCATCTTCATCACTGTCTACTGTACCTAAACACCTCATAATCTGGCACACTAATTGTGGAATATATATATATGTAAAATGAGACACTGTCTACAGTATGCAATGTTAAACTCTCTTCAAACTTTTAACAACATACAATACGGTAATTGGAGATAACTCCTCTATGACGCAGTACTAGACTCCCAATGGATAATGTACTCAATCCAGCAACTAATAACTGTCAAACTAATGTGTGCAGCAATAAGGTAGGCAGTGAACTAAATTACGGCATGACATACAATTTTTCCTAATTAATTAAAGAGAGCTATATTGTACAGCGTGTTTCACAATCAGCCTGTTGGGATCTATCTAAAATCTCATCATTATAACACAACATGCCTGAACTCGGAAATCTGTTCGGAAGAGTGACATCTTGCAATATAGAGGTTCAAGGTCCTGTTCACTACCAGTGTAACTTAGACCCCATTCCCACAGATTTTAGATCAATCTATCCCTGTGGAGAGTCTCACTAGATTACTGTCAGCTTAGCCGGCTTCAGCGTCTGTCCCGCCTACTATAAGCTGTAAGAGGGTAATTAACTGCCGTGCTTGCTCAGCTGACTGCAATTTAGCGTGAACCCCCAGGGAGTTAGGTCGATCTGGATGGATCGATCTAAATCTCTGGGAATGCACTCTTAGACAAGGTGAATCTTACTGACATCATCAGCTGTTCATGGTCCTGTTCACTACAAGTCCAAATTAGGCCAGGCTAGTCTTAATGACATCACCAGATGTCCATGATCGTGTTCACTACCAGTCTAACTTAGGCCAGGTTAGTCTTACTGACATCCCTTGATAACTTAGACCACTGACATCATAAAATTACCAGACTGCTTAACAAGGATTTTACGACACTAAGGTATGATGGAATTGTTCATTACATTAAGATAATAGAGATGTGATCACAGCAGGACTTATAATCGAAATACAGCCCATCAAACTACAAAAAATATGCAAAATTTTTTTTTCTATCTACAGCAGTAGCAGATATTTATATTTTTACACTAGACTCATTCATTCAATTATCTTCCAACCAAACTTATTCCTGTGATGAGCATTTAAATGACATCACAGAGGTTTAAAACAATCCCTTCTTACTGCAACAAAAATC